AAAGCTACGGATAGCAAATGCTACGGGCGATGCCTGAGCGTGAACGCGCATGAAGCAGCCTGCTCGACCCGAGCATCTCTCTTTTTCTGTGATTTGACAGAAAAACAGGCAATCACAGTAAAAATGCCAGGGCTCATTCTACAGGACCAGGGCATTGCAGGAGAATGTATGAAGAAGACATTTATTATTTCTATACATGTTTTAGCTGTCAAACTTCCATAATGCCCCTTTAAGAAAAGCCTGGAGTCTGATGTTGTGGCTCACGTGCACGAATACCATCAGCACATGCATAAGCAGAGTAAAACAGCTGTGGAAGAGCTGACCATGCGAAAACGGTTTAAAATGTTTTTTAAAGGTTTCAAACGAGACACCAGCATATAGTCTAGCCATGTAGTCGGGTTGATGTCTCCTAACTTTGTTCCCTTGGTTCCTAACAGATTTCAAAGCCTTTGAGCATCTGGACAGATAACCTTGCTGTTTGATTTATCGGTTCGGAGTCTGCTCGGCGAATGGACCCCTGTCCCCCCGTCGGTCAGGGATCATATTTCTTCTTGAGTCTACACCAAAGGACGGGTCTCTGCAGCGTAAGAGGCTCGGTGAGCATCGCACTACAGTGAAGGACCAGAGGACAGATGAGGACACCATAATGCACTGAGCACATTAACGCCGCACACTGCATACTAAAGAGGGATCACTGTGCTACACTCCTCCTGCCTGGAGGAGCTGGAGTGTGCACAGCTCCCTGATTACCTACTGAAACCTAAATAACACCGATAATCACACAGTTCTGATACCTAATGAGCATTACTGAACACACATACAACTGTTTAAAATATCATGAAAATGTAATTGAAGTCTCAGTGATGAACTACATTTTCATTTCATTGTTAAGTTTTGGTTCTTGTCCCTCAGCAGCTTTTTTTGCAGGTGTTATTTTCTTTTCGTCCAGTAGATGGCGATCACGTTCCATCACACAAACCGGAGCAGCGGAGTCAATCAGTCTCTGCAGTGCTAGTGTGCCCAGCAACCCACAGCAACAACAATGGAACAGGATGCTCACGTGATGCAGACCAACGCATCGCAGCTGCAGAGTCACTTCTAATAATGCTGAATAATAATCTGATGGGACTCGGTTTTAGCCCTTAAGCAGCTGCAGAAGTGATTACTTCCTGTGAACTGGATCTCTGAGAGTCGTTAGAACCAAATGTTCAACACTGAAGGTGTGATGAATATCTTAGTGAGCGGATGACGTGTTCTGTTCCTGTTCCTGCATGTAAAGTCTCTCAAGTGGACATATTTGTGTGTGTGTGTGTGTGTGTGTGTGTGCGTGCATACATGCGTGTGTGTGGGTGTGTGCGCGTGTGTGTGTATGTGTGTGTTTGCATATGCATGGGTGCATGCGAAGGTGTATGTGTGTGTGTGAGTGTATTTGTGTGCGTGAGTGTGCACATGTGTGTGTGCGCATACGTGCGCGTGTGTGTGTGCTCGCGCACATGTGTGTGAATGTGTGTGTGCGTGCATATGTATGGGAGCATGAGCGTGTATGTGCACATGCCTGCATGTGTGTACATACGTGTGTGTGTGTGTGCATACATGCGTGTGTGCATACGTGCATGCGTATGTGTGTGTGTGTGTGTGTGCATATGCATGGGCGCATGCGAGGGTGTATGTGTGTGTGTGAGTGTATTTGTGTGTGTGTGTACGTGTGTGCATATGCATGGGTGTATGTGCACATGCCTGCATGTGTGTGTGTGTGTACGTGTGTGCATATGCGTGGGTGTATGTGCACATGCCTGCATATGTGTGTGTGTGTGTGTGTATGTGTGTGTGTTACCATCGTATTGAGGTCCCGGGTGGAGGTCCTGGTCTGGAGGGGATTAGTGGAGGAGGAGAGCCGATACTCAAATCAGGGAGCTGGGTGAAGCGGAACCCCTGCAGAAGGTGCAGATGAACATTTATAGTATCTGGACTCAGCTTTAGACCAAAGAACAGAAAATAAGGCAAAAAGGCAAAATGAAGCCTAAAATTCATCAAGAGAAAAATATAAAACACCGAAATCCTATAATTTCTTCTTTAATTTATCTTCTAAGATTTTTTATTTCCTATTTTGTGGCGTTGAGCATCATCACCGCCCAAAAACACCAAAGACAGGGAGAATGTTCCCTTTCACAAGAACGTGTATTTTTAATTACTCCAACATCTCCAGCGGGTCTAATCCAGCTAATAGATGAGTGGGAAGAGGATTAACTGGATTTATAATTCACCTCCACAGGTCACATGGAGAATAATCACGTTTGGTGGTTTAGGTAAACTAGGAGGTGGTGAAGCGTTACAGATGGAAAAATTCTCATTGTGCTACATTTTCATTCTTCCATCAGTTATCTATACCAGCTTATCCTTCCAGGGTGGCAGGGGACTGGTGCCCATCTCCAGCTGTCTTCAGGCAAACAGGCAGGGTGCACCCTGGACAGAATACCAGTCCAACACGGAGACACACAGGACAAACATCCCAACAGGCATATCCCTGGACTGCTGTCGGAGCCCTCAGGGGTGCTCTGCTGGTATTTGACCAGAAAGAAGCAGGTTTTGTTTAACGCAGCGTTTCTTTTTTTGGGGATCTTTACTGAATCCAGACCATGACGACGTGCTCTCCAGGTGCTCAGTGACTCAGAGCCACATGCTCCAGAGCTCACGGAAGGTCCTTTGGGAAGTGTGAGGAACCTTTCTGGAAATCCTCACCGGGGCCTTTCTTCTGTACGGTGGAACTCCAAAGTCCTGATGGAATCGTTTTAGAATCAGCCGTGTCGGATTTATGAGAAATGACCATGACTCTCTCTCCTCTTATGGTGTGGATTTATTATGTTTTATGTTCATTTAGGAAGAAAGCTGCACCTTAAATGTGCCTTTTTGTTTGTGCTAAGTAGGGATGTCCCGATCAGGTTTTTTTTTGCCCTCGAGTCCGAGTCGTTTGATTTTGAGAATCTGCCGATACCGAGTCCCGATCCGATACTTTCGATACATAAAAAGAAAGAAAAGGAAGAAACAGTTCCAGAATGTTCCTTATTTTTTATTTAATTACCTTTTATTTTCATTTTTAACAACAGATCACTTCTGTGAGCTAGCTTGAACAATCAAGTAATAAATAACATCAATTCTTCACTTTTGGACTTTATTGCAAATATAAAAAGTCTAATATAAAAACAGAGAGCACTTCAACTTAAAATACCTGGCAGGGGTCTATTTTGCCTCGGCCCCCAAAGTTCTTAGATACGCCCCTGGGCATGGGACGGAGTTTTGAAGAAGATCTGAATTGTATCAGCTATATAAATACTACATGCTGATAGGTTATTGCTTCATACAGGTGCAAACACGTAGTGGGATCAATCTACCTACATTTTATTTTGTTAAGAACTTTTTGTTTTCTTGGTTTTTATTTTCCTGTTTTCCTGTCCTGTCTGTCTCTGATCTTCCTGTCCCGTCTGTCTCTGACTTTCCTGTCCCGTCTGTCTCTGACCTTCCTGTCCCGTCTGTCTCTGACCTTCCTGTCCCGTCTGTCTCTGATCTTCCTGTCCTGTCTGTCTCTGACCTTCCTGTCCCGTCTGTCTCTGACCTTCCTGTCCCGTCTGTCTCTGATCTTCCTGTCCTGTCTGTCTCTGACCTTCCTGTCCCGTCTGTCTCTGACCTTCCTGTCCCGTCTGTCTCTGATCTTCCTGTCCTGTCTGTCTCTGATCTTCCTGTCCCGTCTGTCTCTGATCTTCCTGTCCCGTCTGTCTCTGATCTTCCTGTCCCTTCTGTCTCTGATCTTCCTGTCCCGTCTGTCTCTGACCTTCCTGTCCCGTCTGTCTCTGACCTTCCTGTCCCGTCTGTCTCTGACCTTCCTGTCCTGTCTGTCTCTGATCTTCCTGTCCTGTCTGTCTCTGATCTTCCTGTCCTGTCTGTCTCCGATCTTCCTGTCCCGTCTGTCTCCGATCTTCCTGTCCCGTCTGTCTCCGATCTTCCTGTCCTGTCTGTCTCCGATCTTCCTGTCCCGTCTGTCTCCGATCTTCCTGTCCCGTCTGTCTCCGATCTTCCTGTCCCATCTGTCTCCGATCTTCCTGTCCCGTCTGTCTCCGATCTTCCTGTCCCGTCTGTCTCCGATCTTCCTGTCCTGTCTGTCTCCGATCTTCCTGTCCCGTCTGTCTCCGATCTTCCTGTCCCGTCTGTCTCTGACCTTCCTGTCCCATCTGTCTCCGATCTTCCTGTCCCGTCTGTCTCCGATCTTCCTGTCCCGTCTGTCTCTGACCTTCCTGTCCCATCTGTCTCCGATCTTCCTGTCCCGTCTGTCTCCGATCTTCCTGTCCTGTCTGTCTCTGACCTTCCTGTCCCGTCTGTCTCTGATCTTCATGTCCTGTCTGTCTCTGATCTTCACGTCCTGTCTGTCTCTGATCTTCCTGTCCCGTCTGTCTCTGACCTTCCTGTCCCATCTGTCTCCGATCTTCCTGTCCCGTCTGTCTCCGATCTTCCTGTCCCGTCTGTCTCTGACCTTCCTGTCCCATCTGTCTCCGATCTTCCTGTCCCGTCTGTCTCCGATCTTCCTGTCCTGTCTGTCTCTGACCTTCCTGTCCCGTCTGTCTCTGATCTTCATGTCCTGTCTGTCTCTGATCTTCACGTCCTGTCTGTCTCTGACCTTCCTGTCCTGTCTGTCTCTGATCTTCCTGTCCCGTCTGTCTCCGATCTTCCTGTCCTGTCTGTCTCTGATCTTCACGTCCTGTCTGTCTCTGATCTTCCTGTCCTGTCTGTCTCTGATCTTCCTGTCCTGTCTGTCTCTGACCTTCCTGTCCCATCTGTCTCTGATCTTCCTGTCCCATCTGTCTCTGACCTTCCTGTCCCGTCTGTCTCCGATCTTCCTGTCCCGTCTGTCTCTGACCTTCCTGTCCCGTCTGTCTCTGATCTTCCTGTCCCATCTGTCTCTGACCTTCCTGTCCTGTCTGTCTCTGACCTTCCTGTCCTGTCTGTCTCTG